CACCCCAGTATGGAGGTTCCTCAAAAAATTAAAAATAGAACTACCCTACAACCCAACAATGGCACTACTAGGTATTTATCCAAGGAATACAGGTGTGCTGTATCGAAGGGGCACATGCACCCCAAAGATTATAGCAGCACTATAAACAATAGCCAAAGTATGGAAAGAGCACAAATGTCCATCAATGGATGGAGTATTACTCAGCAACCAAAAAGAATGAAATCTTGTCATGTGCAACTACGTGGATGGAACTGGAGGGTATTATGCTAAGCGAAAGTAGTCAGAGAAAGACAAATATATGACTTCACTCATATGAGAACTTTAAGACACAGAACAGATGAACACAAGGGAAGGGAAGCAAAAATAATATAAAAACAGGGAGACGGACAAAATATAAGAGACTCTTAAATATGGAGAACAAACAGAGGGTTGCTGGAGGAGTTGTGGGAGAGGGGATGGGCTAAATGGGTAAGGGGCATTAAGGAATCTACTCCTGAAATCATTGTTGCACCACATGCTAACTTAGATATAAATTTAAAAAATAATAATGATAAAAATTAAAATAAATAACAATTTAAAAAAATAAAATTGGAGAAACATACCCAAGCATATTATTATTATTATTATTATTATAAATTTAAATACTGGACCTATTCCATTCACAAGTCAAAATTTTAAAAATTCAGACATCTGCTATTTATAAGGGACAATGTAGGAACACACAAAGGTGGAACAAGAATGTTAGAAGACTTATCAAACAAATACTAATCGAAATAAATCTCACATAGTTATATTAAAAACTAGATTATAAGAAAAAAGTATTATTACAGATGAAGAGAGTCTCTATACAATAATAAAAGTTTCAATTTATCAAGAAGATAATAGCAATTTAAAATATAAACCTCAATATATTCAAATATTAAAATAACCTCAATGTATAAGATCCAAAAAGTAGTAAAATAGCCGGGAGAAAGTATACCATAGATGGAGCTACAGTAATTTAGACAGTATGGAATGGACACGAGGATATACAAATTGAACACTAGTATAAAATAGGGAGTCCAGAAACAGATCAACATTATTTTGAACTTGGCTATAACCGAGATAGCATTTCAATTTAGAGAGGAAAAGCAGGACTAATTAATAAAAAATGATTACTATGCTAGCAAAACTGTTCATTAAAGAGACAAAAAATGAAATTGGATCCCTATCTCATACCATGTACAAAAAAAAATAAAAACTCCAAATGGATTGAAGATTTTCGCATGTAGTATGTCATTAAGAAAACCTTAATAAACTTTAAAGAAGTAAAAAAAAAAGTCAAAAAGAAAACTTTAAAAAAAATTAGTAGAAAATAAAGGTGAATAATTTTAGACCTCAGTATAGGGAAAGATGTTAAAAATGAGACACAGAGGGGTGCTTGGGTGGCTCAGTTGGTTAAGCGTCCAACTTCAGCTCAGTTCTTGATCTCATAGTTTGGTTTGTGAGTTTGAGCCCTGCAGGGCTCTGTGCTGACAGAGTCAGCTGGCTCTGGCTGGCTCAGTCAGAAGAGTACATGACTCTTGATATCAGGGCCGTAAGTTCAAGCCCCACAGTGGGTGTAAAGATTACCTAAATAAATGAAACTTAAATAAACAAACAAATAAATAAATAAATAAAAATAAAGTAAAGTGAAAAGACAGGATACAAACTGTGAGTGGACAGTCACAATATACATGATCAACAAAAAATTAGCACGAAAAATACAGAAGAACTATAAATAAGATTACAAATAATAAAATGGGTAAGAAACAACAATACAGGGGCGCCTGGGTGGCGCAGTCGGTTAAGCGTCCGACTTCAGCCAGGTCACGATCTCGCGGTCCGGGAGTTCGAGCCCCGCGTCGGGCTCTGGGCTGATGGCTCAGAGCCTGGAGCCTGCTTCCGATTCTGTGTCTCCCTCTCTCTCTGCCCCTCCCCCGTTCATGCTCTGTCTCTCTCTGTCCCAAAAATAAATAAACGTTAAAAAAAAAAACAGAAACAACAATACATAAGCAAAAAACACATGAAGAGCTGTTCCACACCATTGGTGAGCAGAGAAATGCAAACTAAAACCACAGTGAGATCCTTTTACACCCATTTGATCAGGCTGATGCAAGATAGTAGAAGATAAGCTGATGTAACCACTTTAGAAATGACTTTGGCACTACCACCTGAAGGTGTGGGCATTTTCATTCTTAGAATTATATCCAAAAGAAGCTGCTGCACATCCACAAGACAGTACAAGAATATATGTAGCATACTGCTCACAATGGCAAAACTTAGAAACCAAAATCACCATCAGTGGAAGAGTGAATGAATAAACTGTGGCACATTCAGAAAATAAATTGATATAGCAGTCAAAGCAAGTAATCTACCCTCTAGATTTCAGATCAACATCAATAAAACGTCTATATTGCAACGATATGTCTGTCACTAAGTGAAAAAGATAAATAAACTCCAAAAGATTACAGATTTATATCACTTTAATAATGTTTAAAAAAAAAAATTTAAACTACAACTGACTCCTGAACAATATGGAGGTTAGAGGTGCTAACTTCCCACAGTCAAAAATCTACATATAACTTTTGACTCCCTAAAGACTTATCTACTAATAATAGCCTACTGACCAGAACTTTACAGATGGCATAAACAGTCAATTAACAAACACTTTGTATGTTATATGAGTTATCTATTGTATTCTTACAATAAAGAAACAAAAAAGAAAATTTTAATAAGAGAAATTATAGTTACAATACTGTACTGTATATATTTTAAAGATCGATGTATAAGTGGATCTGCACAGTTCAAACCTATTTTGCTCAATGGTTAACTGTACGCTCTTGAGGAATTCATTTCTATCAACTTACAAACAAAGAGGAGCAAGATGCTGATGAACACAGGGATGAAATGATAATTACCTTAGGTTAGGAGACAGCCAGATTGAGTTAGTGGGGTCACTTTATATTAAATGTAGGTAGCTAGAAAGGTACTTGATTTTGCCTCAGTTTGTAGATTCACAGATAATTACATTTAAAGTAACTAAATAATCAAAGCACTCTAGGTGAGGACCAATGATATGAGTAGGTCATGAAACCAAAGATAATGATGAACCCAATTTAGTGCATCTAAGCTCCTTAGAAAAAAAAAAAAAATTCTTTTAAGGATTTTATTTCTAATTCTCTAAAACTGGTGGTCTAGTCCTGTCAAATTGTGCAGACAATGACAGAAGTGTCAATAAAGTCATTACATTTTCAGTTTATTTTTTTAAAGTTTATTTCTTTATTTTGAGACAAAGAGTGAAAAAAAGAAGAGAGAGAGAGAGAGAGAGACTGTGAGCGGGGGAGTGGCATAAAGAGAGGGAGAGAAAGAATCCCAAGCTAGAACCCGACACAGGGCTTGAACCCACAAACTGTGAGATCATGACCTGAGCCAAAACCACGCGTCAGATGCTTAACTGACTGAGCCACTCAGGTGCCCACATTTTCAGTTTATTTTTGATATTAGATCAGAGTACAGCTGAATCAATATACTTATTTATATAATGGTAAGAAGCTAGTATAATTTTTCTAAACAAAATTAAATAGATTTTGTTAGCCTTTAATAAAATTTTTAGGGACTAAAACTAAAATTTTAGGGACACTTGGGTAGCTCAGTCAGTTAAGAGTCTGACTTCAGCTCAGGTCATGATCTCGCATTCCGTGAGTTTGAGGCTTGCATCGGGCTCTGTGCTCTGTGTGTCTCCTTCTCTCTCTGCCCCTCCCCCCTCACGCTCTGTCTCTTTCACCCTCAAAAATGAATAAATATTTTTTTATTTAAAAAATAACAATAATAAACTAAAATTTTAAAATACGCTTTTTGGAAATGGTCTAATTTATTACATAGTAACTCTTATATAATAACTCAGAGTATATGCTACTATTAAACAGTACTTTATAAACCTTCTTTAATGTAAAGAATTTGCAGAGCTGTATGTAACGGAGATACAAGGGTAGACTCTGTCACCACCATGACCAGGTCAACTTACTTTTACTATAAGTTGAAGAACTTTCCTTCCGACTCAGCTTAAGATAAAGTTTGCTTTTAGGTTCACTATAAAATTCAGGATTTACAGTTGTAAACTTCTTTAGTTTGCCATACTGTTTTCTTTGAAAGTCAAATCCTTTTCTGAAAAATGAGCAAAAACAAAAATGAATTTAAATATTAAGATACAAATTTTTACTAAGATATAATTGTCAATAACAATTGAAACAATTGTATTAGGTGTACAATTAGGTGTATTAGGTGGTTCGAGATGTGTGTGTGTGTGTGTGTGTGTGTGTATTTATGGTAAAATGATCACCAAAATAAGTCTAGGTAACATCTATCACCACACAGAGTTACAAACTGCCTTCCTTGTGATGAGCACTTTTAAGATCTACTCTCTTAGCAACTTTTACATATACAATACGGTATTATTAACAACAGTTACCATGCAGTACATTACAACCCCAGGACTTTATAAGTTTGAAAGTACATTTTTTTTTTCATCTTTAAAATATAGCATTAAAAGGAGGGAACCAGAGTGAGTGTATGTTTATATACTTTCATCCATGGACAAAAAATAAAAAAGTAGGAAGAAAATAGCAACCCTCACAGAATCATTAGTTTTATTTTTTTTTTAATGTTTTATTTATTTTTTGAGAGAGAGGAGCACAAGTGAGGGAGGGGCAGAAAGAAGGGACATAGGATCCGAAGCTGGCTCCACACTGGCAGGCTGACAGCAGCAAGCCCGATGTGGGGCTCGAACTCATAAACTACAAGATCATGACCTGAGCTGAAGTCAGATGCTCAACTGACTGAGCCACCCAGGCGCCCTGAATTATCATTAGTTTTAAGATGAGTAAGCCAGGGGCGCCTGGGTGGCTCAGTCGGTTAAGTGTCCAACTTTGGCTCAGGTCATGATCTCACGGTTTGTGAGTTCAAGCCCCGTGTCAGGCTCTGTGCTGACAGCTCGGAGCCTGGAGCCTGCTTCGGATTCTGTGTCTTGCTCTCTCTCTGCCCCTCCCCCGTTCACGTTCTGTCTCTCTGTGTCTCAAAAATAAATAAAACATTTAAAAAATTAAGGGGCGCCTGGGTGGCTCAGTCGGTTGGGCGGCCGACTTCGGCTCAGGTCATGATCTTGCGGTCCATGAGTTCAAGCCCCGTGTCGGGCTCTGTGCTGAGAGCTCAGAGCCTGGAGTCTGTTTCAGATTCTGTCTCTCTCTCTCTCTGACCCTCCCCCGTTCATGCTCTGTCTCTCTCTGTCTCAAAAATAAATAAACGTTAAAAAAAAAATTAAAAAAAAAAAAAAATTAAAAAAAAAAAAAAGAAAGAAAGAGAGACTAAGCCAGGACAAGTATTGAAAAAGTACACAAAAGATAGAGTATCTCAGCTTCAATAACTGTAATAAATCATCCCCATTATTTCCGTATCTTATAGGTTATTATGATGATTAAATGAAATAATACATGCAAAGTCCTTAGAAGAATGCAGGCATGTATAAACTCCCCAAAGATGTTATTAAATTACGATGCACATGTTCATTATAGCTACTTTTTGGATAATCCCACTTTTATAGGACATGTTTCCAAATTGTAGCATTCTATTATCCTATAAAACTAACTAGTTAGGCTACCTATTATCCTGCACTGACAAAAATTATTCTTGTGGTTTGTTCAACAGGGTTTTCTAAGGATTGTGACTATATATAAAAATGATTGTCTAAAAATAGCTTTAGAAAATTATTTCCATTTTAAAGTTAGAAAACCTGAGGTACTCTATCTTTCAGATAATTTACCTATCTCAATATCTTTTAAAACTGATAACAATCATGTGAGGTTATTATTTTCTGATATAATAATTAATTACAGGCATTATTTGCTACCAAAGCATACCTCACCAAAAGCTGGCATTCCTCAAAGAGAGGTATCTTTTGACTTCTTAAGTATAAGCCAATACTCTTTATATCACTTAAAACCATGCTAGTTAGAGAGGCTTCCTTTGTTAAATATCCTGGGGTCACTTCTTCAAGCCACTTGAAAAATTTACATCGGTTGGCTTTGGGTCCATCACAGGTATAAAAGAGACGACCCTAAGAGGAAAAAGATATTGCAATTGAGTAAGAAAAATTTTATATTTTACTATTTTTGTATTATGTTTGTCAAGACTTCTATAAAAAGGTGCTTGGCATTAATGTGCTCCAATAAATTATTCATCATACAAGTTAATCTTTTTATTAATACTAAACAACAAATTAAAATTTAAAACCACTTAGTTGACATTTCTCTTTATCAGAAAATTACATTATTCTGAGAACATAAGCTTATTTGAAAAATAAAATTTTTTGTTTCTCCAATTTAAAATGTTCACCATAGACACCCTGAAGGCTACCCAGAAACAACTACAAGAAACATCTTGTGCATTTCTTTTTGGCCTTTTTTGTCACTCACATAAGTGTGTGTGCGCACAAGGACACACACATACACTGTTTTTTTTAAAAAAGTAAAACTCAGATGATGATGTGTTTTCTATTCCATAACCTAATATAACCTAACACAATAACATGCTGTACGCATGACAACCATGTCATCAAATTATCTTAAAAAGAAAAAAAAGACTTTTGATGGCTCTATAATATTTTATTCTATGGTTATAATATTATTTACAAATTCTTGCCTTTGACGCCTAAATTTAAATCTCAATGTACGTACGCAATACATAAACATTTTACTAACTTGACATCTTCCATAATAATGTTATCAGCAATGTAAATTAAATCAGTTTGCTTTTACATTCCTCAGGCCTTATCTATTACTCGTACTGGGGCTCACACAGGAGACTACTTCAACTTTCACTTCTTCAGGCTCATCTCTGCATTCTCTAAGATCTCAGGTTGGGACATATTCCTTCTCAGTGTTCTCACTGTAACTTGGGCATATCCCCCTATTCTATCAATTATACTATTACATAAAATTTATTTTTATGTTTCTGTCTCCAGCCACCACTATGCAATAGATTCACAGGCAATCTGAAGGATTATCTTAACTCATACTTTTATACCCTAGAACACAGATCATCTTTTAGTAAAAATTTACTGGGAGTTTACGGTAGGTTAGTTACTAATACTTCAAGTAGAAGGCTCCTAATCAGGACCTGCTCTTTAACAAAGCCGGTCATAAAGCAATAGGTACCTAAATTTTCTACAAGACAAGTATTCGGTGGGGCAACCGGTGAGTAACAGGGAACAATACCTTATTTGGACCTTCCTTTTTAACCGTGACAAGTTTTGCAGGTTGATGATGATGGCAGGATGGCACATTACTTTCTACATTTTTCAGTTTCTCTCTCTTTAGTGATGTGTAAAATGATATGTCAACTTTTGAAAGAGCTTTGTGCAACCTCTGTGCCAATTCAAACAGCAATATATTTAGATGTTCTACAAAAAAAAAAAAATATATATATATGTATATGTATATACATGTGTATATATATATATACATAAATACAGATGAAAATTAAATACAAAATAAGTTTGTGTTTGTATCATGTGTACTGTTAGCTAAGTTTGAAAATGACT